ACATCGGACTTCTCACACAAAATTCTTGTTCTATCCAGACTTAGAAATTAACAACGATCTTGTAACTTGAAATACACAAATAAAAGGTAAAACACTGCCAAAATCTTCTATATATTAATACGACTCCCTTCGTGATCCTATCCTTCTCTGGTCGCTACGGAGAAGCGTGACATGATCAGAATCTCTATCTCTCTCTTTCTAGTCGCTGCCGAGGAGCGTAGCAAACGGAATCTCCATCTATTTCTCTCTCACAATCAGAGAATAGCCACAAGTCTCCTCCTACCACTTTCCCTAAGATCCAAAAGGGGAGGTATCCGGTTTCAACTGAAATACCTCAAGTACCAAATTAAGAAAATATTAACCTCCGGTCAAGAACCATCCTCTGTCTTCTTCCAAGTAAACGAACTAGAATCTAGAATCGCGTATAAAACGCAAAGTACGGGAAAATTAAAAAACTCGTTCCAATCGATTTTAAGATAAATTATCCAGCTTGTACGAACATTCTAAAGTCAGATACTTACTGTGAAGTTTACAAAATGCACTATCTTTCGGGACGAGAATAAAATCTATTATCTTTGCTATTTTCGTTATTACTAATTTTCACGCAATCGAGTCCAATTCCCAATACCCAGCACTTAAATGTGTTGACCGAAAAATAAACGTAATGAATACTCTTGTCGAATCGTAACACATTTAACTCAAATCACTTCTGAAACCCAAAGTGCTACTATAGAAGACTTTAAAGAGTTTCCGCTGAACGAAAACAATATAATTTTATCTTAAAGTACAATTTGTACATGCAGCTAGAGAATCCACTCCACTTCTAAAAAAAGGCATGTAAGTCGATTAGTCGCATATCTCGAAGTATTGTTGCCGCTTTTCCGAGATGCTGATTGGCTGTCTCGCTTGTGCGATACGACATGCTTCAGTCGTGTTATTTGCAGTTGTCAAACCATGCAAAACTTTAGAGATAGCAAATGGCGCGCGCGAAACGCGCGCTTGTGTTGTCTATGGTCGTAAAAAACAAGTAAAATTACGTTGCAGTATTAATTTTTTATAGACTATTAAAATTCTTGGACGTCACCTCGCCTGACTGCAAAGTATAAATAAGTTGATTCAGTAATACCGTAACAGATTGCTTTTAAAACCACAGTGCTGAAGTTGAGAAAGCCATGGAGAATCCAAGAATCTATAACGAAGGTAGCAACGTACAAAAGCGTAATGTATCATCTGTAATTGAAGAGTATAGTGAAGAGTTAATGAATGTAACTGGAAAGTGTATGGACCTTGGTTGCGGTCCCGGAAATATAACAAAAGATATTTTGTTGCCGTCTCTTGGTTCAAGTGCACACATAATTGGTAAAAGAATAATAACATGTAGAAATATGGCAAATTACTATTATAATTGAGTCATAAGTAATTATTTAATTGCATGATTGCGGTTTTATGAAGGCGTGGATATTTCGGAGCACATGGTCAAATATGCGAATGAAAAGTATAATGATGAAAAACGGCTCCAATTCGAGGTACTGAATGCTGAAACGAAAAGTTTACCTAAAAAATATATTTCTGAATTTGATCATATATTTTCGTTTCGAAGTCTTAACTGGTGTAGTGACATTCGGTAAGCAAATATTATGTAAAATATTTACGATAAAATGTGTTTCGGTAAACTTTTTCGGTAAACAAGCTTCGTCACTAAACTTTTTAACCAAGTGCACATTCTTGTCTATCTCTTCTATAAAACAAATTGCACATTAGTGTGCAACAATTTTAGAATAGATCAATTAAATAAATTACATGCACAATTTTATTTTACATTTTAACGTCGTGTTGTTGATCATAATATTTCATGAAATTTCTCTAACATAATAATATAATGGCAGAATTTGGAAAACAAGTAACAAATATAAAATATGAATTTATCATATATTTATATGATAGCAAAAATCGTACGATTCTAAAGAATTTTAATAAGTATTTTAAACTAATATATTTATACAGTATATATTATATACAGTTTTTAAAATTAATTGTCTTTATTTGATGTATCTAACAGACAAGCTGTTACAAACATTTATCAAATGCTACAACCCAATGGATTCACACTTTTGCAAATAGTAGTAGCTCAGGATTATTTGGAAATTATTCCGAGGTTGATACGAGACATCCGGTTTGCACAATATGTACCGGTAAATATATTATATTATTAAATTACAAATATAAAATTATTTTATTTATTTATTTTGTTGCTTTGTAATATTGGCACTATAAATTATTATTTATTATTTTTATAATTACGTAGGAGAAGATAAAAAACATTTTACCGTATCAAGAATTTAATTGTACCCGTAAAGGATTCAAAGAATTACTTCAAAGCGAAGGATTTACTGTTCATCATTGCAGTCGTCGGAATGAAATCAATTTTGAAGAAAAATCTGGACCGTTCATAGGTAAATCAAATTGAAAATATGAAAGAAAAATTTTACGTTAAGGCATTATTAATTCGTTAACTAACCTCCTTTATATCACTTTTTATTAAAATTATGTTAACTATGTTAAAAATATCAACATTTTTGTAATGCTCTATACGTTAATTTTAAACTTGTGTGTGACATGTATGATATTTAAAAGGTACGCTGTTATCCATCACGCACTTTCTCCAAGATATGCCGCAAGATCTAGTGGATCAATTCAAGGATGCAATTAAATATGAATATATGAAAAAAAATAATTATAAAAGAGTGCATAATAATGAGGAACTTACAATACATTTACATGAAGTGCTACTAATTTATGCACAAAAGATATAGTATATAATTAATATAAAATTGCATGACGACCCATGGCTGGTAAATTCTAATTAAAAAAATTCCTTGCAAAAAATATTATTTTAGCCAGGGTTTGAACCCGGACCTCCGTACACTCTAGGCGGGCGTCTCTTCGACCACCACTGCACCGAGGCATATGCCTCGGTATATATGTATATACTGAGGTAATATATTTCGCAATGAATTTCTTTAATTTGAATTTGCTAGCCGTGGGTCGTCATGCAATTTTCTACATTGGATAATCAATTACTGGCGTTAAATAATTCTTTACGTAATATAAAATTGTTTAAACATATGTGCAATCGTAGATTAATAAATTTGGCAAATAATAGAAAACCTTGTAGCACCGTATTAACACTTATAATTAATAAATAGTTATTACTTAATTAATGATTAATAATTTATTGTACATCTGTCATCTATTCGCATAAAAAATATGTGTACTAGTAAGTGTGTGTAAATACCTTAAACTTTTTAATTTTGCAACATACCATCACCCACACAAATTTAAAAAAATTGTAAAACTTTCTTGTTACCAGACAAAAGATTATTTTTTTTACGAAATCAAATATATGTATACGTCTCCTTACTCTTACTTCATGCTTCTGACATCGGACTTCTCACACAAAATTCTTGTTCTATCCAGACTTAGAAATTAACAACGATCTTGTAACTTAAATAAAATAGATTGTGCGATGAATTGTAATCTATTGTATAATCAATTTAATAAATTTTGTAACTGCGACTAGCATTATTAGTACTAGTACTAGTACATTTTATTGATTCCCCTTAGGGTTACAAGGCGTAATTTTTGAAGAAACGTGCCCAAACCTCTTATAACACCTCTCTCTATATCTATTTCGCTATGTGGCGATCGAACGAAAAACCAACAACGTTTTTGTTTGGTTTTGAACCCGGGTCTTCGGGTTACCAGACCAGCGCACAAACCTCTGCGCCACGATCGCCACACCGATCGATCTTGTAACTCGAAAGACACAAATAAAAGGTAAAACACTGCCAAAATTTTCCATATATTAATACGACTCTCTTCGCGATCCTATCCTTCTCTGATTGCTGCGGAGAAGCGTGACATGATCAGAATCTCTATCTCTCCCTTTCTAGTCGCTGCCGAGCAGCGTAGCAAACAGAATCTCCATCTATTTCTCTCTCAGAGAATAGCCACAAGTCTCCTCCAACCACTTTCCCTAAGATCCAAAAGGGGAGGTATCCGGTTTCAACTGAAATACCTCAAGTACCAAATTAAGAAAATATTAATCTCCGGTCAAGAACCATCCTCTGTCTTCTTCCAAGTAAACGAACTAGAATCTAGAATCGCGTATAAAGCGCAAAGTACGGGAAAATTAAAAAACTCGTTCCAATCGATTTTAAGATAAATTATCCAGCTTGTACGAACATTCTAAAGTCAGATACTCACTGTGAAGTTTACAAAATGCACTATAATTATCTTTGCTATTTTCGTTATTACTAATTTTCACGCAATCGAGTCCGATTCCCAATACCCAGCACTTAAATGTGTTGACCGAAAAATAAACGTAATGAATACTCTTGTCGAATCGTAACACATTTAACTCAAATCACTTCTGAAACCCAAAGTGCTACTATAGAAGACTTTAAAGAGTTTCCGCTGAACGAAAACAATATAGTTTTATCTTAAAGTACAATTTGTACACAGCTAGAGAATGGTCGTAAAAACGTCATGAAAATACGTGACATAAAAAAAATAATTGCAAACGAGAACGTTGAAAATAACACGGTTGGAAAATACCAGTTCTTCCGCAATGTTTATATTCTAACTGTCCAGATTTTATTTCATAATAAATTGCGTTTTATAAACATTAATTACTTTTTAAAATTTACTGTAACCTTAAAAGACATAAAATTACGTTGAAGTATTAATTTTTTATAGACTATTAAAATTCTTGGACGTCACCTCGCCTGACTGCAGAGTATAAATAAGTTGATTTAGTAATACCGTAACAGGTTACTTTTAAAACCACAGTGCTGAAGTTGAGAAAGCCATGGAAAGTCCAAAAATATACAACGAAGGCAACAAAATACAAAAGCGTATAGTATTGTCTGTGATTGAAGAGTATACCGAAAATTTAATGAATGTACGTAGAAAGTGTATGGACATTGGTTGCGGTCCTAGAGATATAACAAAAGATATTTTGTTGCCGTCTCTTGGCTCAAGTGCATACATAATTGGTACAAGAATAATAACATGTAGAAATATAGCAAATCACTATTATAATTGAGTCATAAGTAATTATTTAATTGCATGATTGCGTTTTATGAAGGTGTGGACATTTCGGAGCACATGGTCAAATATGCGAATGAAAAGTATAATGATGAAAAACGGCTTCAATTCGAGATACTGAATGTTGAAATGAAAAGTTTACCTAAAAAATATATTTCTGAATTTGATCATATATTTTCGTTTCACACCTTGCATTGGTGCAGTGACATTCGGTAAGCTAGTTTTATGTATAATATTTAAGATGAAATATATTATATTTCAACTTCTTTAGTAAACAAGCTTTTTTACTATACGATTTAAGCAAGCGTAAATTCTTTTCTTGAAAATATATTGCATATAAGTGTGCATCATTTTTAGAATAGAACAATTAAACAAATTTACGTGCACAGTTTGATTGTACATTTTAACTTCGTGTTGGTGATCATAATACTTTGTGATATTTCTGTAACATAATAATATATTATCAGAATTTGGAAAACAAGCAACAAACATAAAATATGGATTTATCGTATATTTATATCATAGTTAGCAAAAATCGTACCATTCTAAAGACTTTTAATAAATATTTAAAAATAATATATTTATATACAGTGCATATTATACGTATATGTAGGATTCGGGTCCGAGGATGGTGCGGGGTACGGACGTTTACACAACTTTTAATTTAACTGACTTGAATGTAATAAGTGAATACAAATTCGGTCCGTCCTTTGAGCGTGATCTTTTCAGACTAACTAACTTTCCTCCCACTCTTCGACCTGCGCCAGCGCCGCGCGCGCGGGTCCTCCGCCGTCAGCGCCCTGAACTGGGGCCCACTCCTACATATATTAATACGACTCCCTTCGTGATCCTATCCTTCTCTTGTCGCTGCCGAGAAGCGTGGCGAACGGAATCTTTATCTCTCTTTCTAATGGCTACCGAGGAGCGTTGCAAACGGAATCTCCATCTCTTTCTCCCTCAGAGAATAGCCACAAGTCCCCCCTGCCAGTTTTCCTAAGGCTTAAAAGGGGAAGGTATCCGTATTCAACCGAAATGCGAGTTTGATCCCCGGTAAATCACTTAAATGTGTTGACCGAAAATCGGACGTAATGAATACTTTATCGAATCGTAAGCTCTGGTCTAGAATACGTGGAGTAAGCGTGGAGTAAGGAGTAAGGGAGAGCTCTAACTTCTAGCTTTTGGTGTAAGGAAGCTGACATACGGGCATAATTTTTAAAATATTTGTAACACTGATTGATGGCATTTTGATTCACCGAGAGTAAGCCTAAGAACTGAAGTAGGAGTAATAAATAAAATAAAAGAAATAAAATAGATTTATTTCCTTGATCCTACTCCTTACTCAAGCTTACTCCATGTATTCTAGACTAGCCTTTACACTTCTAACTCACAGTACTTTGAAACACAAAGTGCTACTATAGACGACTTCAATAAGTTTCCGCTAAACGAAAACAATATAGTTTTATCTTAAAATACAATTTGTACCCAGAGAATGGTCGTAAAAACGTCATGAAAATACGTGACACGAAAAGAATTATTTCAGACGAGAATGTTGAAAATAACACGATTCGAAAATTCCAGTCCTTTCGCAATGTTAACCACGTTTATACTCTAACGGTCCAGACTTCATTTAAAAATAAATTGCTTTTTAACGTTAATTATTTTTTTTAAATTTACTGTAACCTTAAAAGACATACAATTATATTGCAGTATTAATTTTTTATAGACTAATAAAATTCTTGGACGTCATCTCGCCTGACTGCAGAGTATAAATAAGTTGTTTCAGTAATACCGTAAGATATTGTTCTTAAATCCACAGTGCTGAAGTTGAGAAAGCCATGGAAAGTCCAAAAATATACAACGAAGGCAACAAAATACAAAAGCGTATAATATCATCTGTGATTGAAGAGTATACCGAAAATTTAATGAATGTACGTGGAAAGTGTATGGACATTGGTTGCGGTCCTGGAGATATAACAAAAGATATTTTGTTGCCGTCTCTTGGGTCAAGTGCACAAATAATTGGTAAAAGAATAATAACATGTAGAAATATAGCAAATCACTATTATAATTGAGTTATTAGTAAAGCCAACGGCACACGATACTATTTTTCCTACTGGATTGCTTACGAGAGCCAATCAGGATTTAGCCTTAAGTTACCTGATCGAAAACTCTGCATCCTGATTGGCTCTCGTAAGCAATCTAGTATGAAAAATAGTATCGTGTGCCCTTGGCTTAAGTATTTAATTGCATGATTGCGTTTTATGAAGGCGTGGATATTTCGGAGCACATGGTTAAATATGCGAATGAAAAGTATAATGATGAAAAACGGCTCCAATTCGAGGTACTGAATGCTGAAACGAAAAGTTTACCTAAAAAATATATTTCTGAATTTGATCATATATTTTCGTTTCACACCTTCCAATGGTGCAGTGACATTCGGTAAGCAAGTATTACATAAAATATTTAAAATAAAATGTATTTCAACTTTTTAATAAATAAACTTCATTAGTATTAAACAAGTGTAAATTCTTTTCTTTAAAACATATTGTACATGAGTATGCATCACTTTTAGGATACAACAATTAAATTAATGTACGTGCACGGTATTATTTTACATTTTAACTCGCATTTTAACGTCTCGTTGTTGCTCCTAATATTTAATAATAATTCTGTAACATAGTAATATAATGTCAGAATTTGAAAAACAAGCAACCAACATAAAATATGAATTTATCGTATATTTATATGTTAGTTCACAAAAATCGTACTATTCTAAAGAATTTGAATAAGTATTTTGAAATATATATATATTAAAAATATACATAGCTATTAAAATTAATTGCCATTATTTGCTTTATCTAACAGACAAGTTCTTAAAAACATTTATCAAATGCTACAACCCAATGGATTCACACTTTTGTATATAATAGCAGCTGCGAATTATTTTGAAATTATTCAGAGATTGGTACGAGACATCCGGTTTGCACAATATGTACCGGTAAATATATTATATTATTAAATTACAAATATTAATATCTGATTTGTATTTCATTTTATATAATTATTTTTTTACTTATTTTGTTACTGCGTAACATTGACACAATAAATTATTAATTATTATTTTTATGTTTATGTAGGAGGAGATAAAACACATTTTACCGTATCAAGAATTTAATTGTACCCGTAAAGGATTCAAAGAATTACTTCAAAGTGAAGGATTTTCTGTTCACCATTGCAGTCTTCGGGATAAAATATATTTCGAAGAAATATCGGGACCGTTCCTAGGTAAGTCAAATTGAACATATGCAAAAAACAGTTTTATATTAAGTAATTCGTAATTCGTTACAAAATTTCCTTTCTATCAATTTTTTTATTAAAATTGTAACGTTAACTATGTTAAAACCATCAACATTTTTGTAATTCTGTTTACGTTAATTTTAAACTTGTTCATGACGTGTATGACATTTAAAAGGCACGCTGTTATCCATCACGCACTTTCTCCAAAATATGCCACAAGATCTGGCGGAACAATTCAAGCATGCACTTAAAGATGAATATATGAAAGAAAATAAAACAGTATATCATAATGAGGAACTTATAGCACATGCACATAAAGGGTTACTGATTTATGCACAAAAGATATAGTATATAATTAATATGAAATTGCTTAAACATGTATGCAATCGTAGATTGAGAAATTTAGAAAATAATAGAATTCTTGTAACACCGTATTAACACTTATAATTAATAAATACTTATTAATTAGTTGTATGTATGTATGTATGTATCTTTATTCTGCGGTACACAGAATACGGGCTACCGCTCCGTTTACAATTTTCCTCCTCCACTTTCTCCGCTCGCCTTTTCTTAATCCTACGCCATTTCTTATTTCCTAATTTCTCCACCGAGAGAGAGAGACCACCCATTCTCCGCATCCTCAATCGCTCTTACATTCATTCCTCCATTCATCCTGGCTTCCGTTTCCGCTGCTCTTTCCTTCCATTAATATACATAAACGCATATTAATATAAATAAAAATTAATTTTTTATTTTAAATCAAGAAGAATTATTTGATTTATGTATTTATGTACATACATGCTAATAGTATTTGTATGCAATATTTAAATATTAGGCAATTTTGTTAAGAATTAGTGTATGCATTGTTATGGATATAAGTAAAATAACAGATCTAGATTTGGTTCTTCCAACCTCTTGGTAAACTATCTAGTAGTTAAATTATGTGTCTATTTTTGTTCAATTCAAAGAAAAAACGAAGACATACATAAGATTTAACTATTGGTTAATTTACCAAAGATTGGAACAACCGGCACTAAGAAATAAGCGAACAGTTATGTATTCAACGTACGTTTGATCACTTAGGTTGTATTGCCAAATATTATATTTGAAGCGTAATGTCTTCTCACAATACAAGACGAGTCCTAAATCACAGGAGTTGATAACGTGATATGTACGTGATATTTGGTATACTCTCTACCTTAACTGAGTCTTGTGTTCACTACGAGACCAAACTAGTTGCCGGCGGTACCTCGACAAGATAAGAGCTTCCAACGATTGTCACAACGATTTAATTAATTTAATATAAAAGCTATATTTTAAACTATCTTACAGTTCATATTATAGTATACAATCTAGAATAAAAATATAAAAGCTCGTGGAAGCAGTGTTTTACAATTGTTACTACAGTTTATTTTTACAAAAATAGTAACCGCCATACAGAATGTATAGAAAGGTAAGAGCATATATTGTAGTTGAACTCTTATGTATAGTAAAATAAAAGTAAAAAGTTATTTAAAAGTGAGCAATTAGATTCTTTTAGTATTTAGTATTAGTATTTAGTACTATTACATAATTTAACTCTATCTTTGCCTATAAAATGTATTTATCTCTTAACGATATTTTATTTTATATTTCGATATATATTTTACTTTAATTCTTGATCAAATAAATTTATATTTTATTCATTCATTTGAATCTTTCATATCACTATGATTACCATTCACGTTACATAAATGTAAAGCGTGGTCTACAATGGCAGTAGGAGTAGTGGATTAAGGCTGTAAGACGTCGGAGTAAGCTCGTGTTTCCGGTGTAGTAGGCGTAGAGTAAGGCTGTAAGCAAAATGGTTCAATTCCATTTCGTACGACCTACTCCCTTACTCTCAGCCACTGATAATCAGTTCACGAAATAGGTTAAAGTTGAAACCCTGATCTCGTTTGCGCCTGTTCACAGACCGAACCCACCACCTCCGACCGATAGATCTCTTCGTTTGCATAATACGCCATTGAAGAGTCAAGAGCTGACTCCATAATAATATAAATAACACAAATCCAATTCTTCGCACATCCATATTCACCAACAACGGTAACATTTGTGTAATAACATTGGTTAACACTGATTGGCTCATTATAATCCTTACTCTACGCCATTGTAGACACTCGGGCGTAAAGGGACCTTAATCCTACAGCCTATGTCTAACGCCTACTTCTTTAATCCACTACTCCTACTGCCATTGTAGACCACGCTTAATACTGTTATACATATAAAGACTTAATTCTGTATGGATATATCCATGATTTGATTTTATCTCAAATATAGAAATTTCTCCTTTTTACAAATTTACAAGCAAAATTTTTCTTAAATGTGTTAATCATTTTGCGACTTTACTAAAAATGTATATGAAATATATATGCATGTATGTATTCTGGTATATACGTAAATTCAGCAAAATTTTCATTGAATAAACCAATTAAATAATGTTTCCGTAGTATTACTAATTTGCTTTAGTAAAGCGCTTTGTTAAAGCTAATTCTTCTTAGAACCAGTTTCAAAAACGTCGGTTAACCGTTAACAAAGGTTGAGTCAACTTTCTATCGTTTTCTATCATATTATTTAAGAAAAAACAGAGAATCAATTAACCATAATGAAACCGGATTCTAACAATAATTCGAGTTTTAACTGTACATACATACATATCAACTGACAATTATACATATATACAAGTATACATGTATGTATGTAGGGAAAGCATACATAATATACAATTTACAAGAGCTTAATTTTACTTTTCTAACATATTCGGGTGAATTATAGATATTCCTAACACTTCTTGAAATAAACGTAATTACAACTTTAACCTTGGGGACCTCTGCCCGTAGCATAATACATTTGTACACAGCAGCGCAATATGTTTCAAATAACCAATTACAAAGAGACAAAGTAACAGCTTTAATTGACGAATTTAGCGATTATTTACAAAATATTTCTGGAACATGCATGGACATAGGTTGTGGACCTGGAGATATAACAAATGACATTATTTTACCGATTGTTGGGCGGGATGCAATAGTAATTGGTAAGAAATTAGTAATCGGTATAAAAGTATGTAATAATTAACATTAAAATACATTATTCAAGATCTGTGTATATTGTACAGTTATTATTTAATTTAATATTTCCACTTATATTATGAAGGTACAGATATTTCTAAAAACATGATTGAATATGCTAGAAGAACATACACTATAAAGGAACGACTCGAATTTGAAGTATTAGATATACAAACTAAAGCGCTGCCTACAAAATATGTTTCCAAATTTGATTTCATATTTTCATTCCATACTTTGCATTGGTGCATTGATATTAGGTAAGAAAATTCTTAAACAAAAATAATTTGATTTTTTTTATAAACATTTTTACATATGCGGTTATAGTATAGGAAATATTTTTGATAATGTAATGGAATTTTGTAAATATTCTAAGTATAAATGCCTTTAACAATATTTCTCAAATCTACATTATTAAATAAAACAATTATATATTTTCAAATTAATATTTTTCTATATGTTTAAAATTGTGATTAGAATTTAGTTAGATTTGTTTAGAATTTGTTTTGTTTTAATTTATACATATGGTTACAACATTAGTTAGTAGTTTTATATTTGGTTGTAAATAATATAATAAACAGTAAATTTACAGTTTGAAATAACGACTTAAATATGTACGATAAAGAATAAACAGATTTGGTGGAGTTGTCTGGATCATGGATAGACCTCAATAACCTGAATATACTTTTGATGACTATGTGTGAAGAATAAACAGATTTGGTGTTTATCGTTTAAGTCTAAGCCATTTAGGTCGTTGGTTCAATATAAATTTATAAGTATTTGCTCACGCCTCGCTTTGTTTCTAATTGATGTTGCAATGTAATTTTGTTATGAAAAGGTGAAATAAAGTGTCAAATTTAATTATAATTATAAAATAATATTAATAATTAGTTGATCATTACTGATTTATATCAATTAAATAATTAGCTAATTTGAAAACAGTCATTGTCAAGAAATGTGTTTCAAAACATTATATCCCTAGATTAAATTAGAGGAATTAATATTTATGCCAACGGCACGCGGTACTATTTTTCCTACTGGATTGCTTACGAGAACCCATCAAGATTCAACTTTAACTTACCTGATCTAAAACTCTCCATCTTTATTGGTTCTCGTAAGTAATCCAGAAGGAAAAATAATATCGTGTGCCGTTGGCTTTAATCAGAACTATGAAACATAAATATAAATATTTATTGAAATTAATTTTAACTTTTTATTAAACAGACAAGCATTTGAAAATATTTATCGCATGCTTCGACCTAACGGAAATATGCTTATACTTTTTGTATCATCTCATGAGATATTTGATATACTTGAAAACTTGGCAGAAGATGTCCGTTTTGCACCATACATAAACGTAAATTTCATTATTCATATAAATTATTTTACAACCTTTAAATACTGTTAAATATTGTTAATAATTCTTTATTAATTAAAGTTATTTGTAAAATGTTTTTATATTTACATTTATGCAGGATGTGAGCAAGTACACTTTTCCGTTTCAAAAGTCAATCAATCCTCGTAAGGAACTAAAAGGATTACTTCAAGAACTCGGATTCACAGTTAATCATTGCAGTCATCGAGATACGTACTATACCGATGAAACTCCGAAACGATTTTTATGTAAATTTTTTAAAGATATATAATATGTGTATATAATATACATATATTAAATATTTTGCTATTTCAATTATTAGTTATAATACATATAAAATATATTTCGATACATTAAAAAATCTTCTCAACTAACCTATTCCATTATTTTATTTATTTAATTGCAACATTGAATTCATATATGATATTGAGTTAATTATTTGTAATCATTTTCAGCTTCTATTTTGGCTTTTCTTGATTTCATTGATGACATGCCATGTAACCTGCAAGAGGAATTCAAAAACGAATTTGAACGTATACACACGGAGACACAAATAAACTATAAACGAAAGAAAGATAATAAAACAGTTACATTAATTATGTACAAAGTATTAATAAGCTTCGCTAAAAAATATGTGCCATAATTTTTACATATTTTATACCTTTTATTATACGTTATATATTTAATTAAACGACAATATTTTTATTACAAGGTATATATACCATGGTATTTATAAAATAAAGAATTTGAATTTTATCAATGTTATTTTTTACCTTTAAATGCTTTAATGTTGTTTGACATACATTTTTAACATTTATTTTAAAATATAATTGTATGAGTTATATTACAAGTAGTAGTAGTAGTACTGTACTACTACTACTTGTAATATAACTCATACATGTGACTTAAATGCACCGTTTCTTTCCACCTATGTCCTTCGCGGCGTCAGTTTCTTTTCGCATATATCGCAGTTTTATCAGGACATAGGTGAAAAGAACCACTACATAAATTCACGTTTAAAAATAAAAATTACAAGTTGGGCTACCTACATCTTGCCTTGTGGATCCACATTGAAGTATTCTCATGTGTTGTTTATTCTTATTTACGGGTCTTATCTTAAGTGTATTAAACAATTATAATTTGCACAGAGATAATATAATGAAATTACACGTGAAAGATTATTACATATACATATATCATAAATATACCAAGACCTTATTAAAAACAATTAACGTAATAACACTACAGTTTATGAAAAATTAAGTTGCCAAAAATATGGTAAATCCAGCAAAATGTGTATTTTTCTGGTGAAAACGTAGTAGTCGTCCACAAAATTTTAAGATATGTGGAAGATATGTAAAAAGTTTTTAGAAAAATTTTATGTCTAAGCTTCATTAGTTGAGATATAATACCATAAACGTTATTTACATAAGTATGTATGTGTGTGCGTGTAAGTACATGTGTTATCATTTTATATTTGTTTATTTAAATAACATCTAAATTACGAGATTAATAATCTGTAGTAGTCAATAAATATCGCTAGTGTTAATAATGTTTATTGAATAAGTATTGAATTTATTGTACATTTCAAAATTGACATTACGCTTAAAAAATTAGATAACAAGTTGCTAATACAGAATATATATTGATGCAACAGACCATAGAAGATATTAGAATGACAAAAATGATTAAAATTACAGAAATAATTGAACATACTGGAGCTACCGTAGTCGGATGGGGTCGAACGGGGGGAACGAAGCCAGAGAGAGTAAGTGATGTGCTGCGAAAGGTTAACCTGTCAATCTTCTCTCAAGAAAAGAATGCGATGAAGCCGGATAAACGTAAAATCACATCACTGAAAATGTGTTTTGTGCCGACTACATACTACATCCACATGGAGCGATAGGAGGACGGAATGCTTGGACGGAACGTCTGGTTAACATTTAACCAGAAAATAAAAATAACTCTGAAATTAAATATGCATATAATCCGGGCCTAAATTTTTTTAATTGAATGCTAAGACAAAATAACTTTTTCTCTCTTGAATTAAATAAAGATCTGCATTTCTCTTATAAAAGCTAAATAAAGTAATATATGTGTTTCTATTTAGGTATCGTTTCACACACATGGGGGAAAGGATGTGGAAACCCGAACTTCCTAGGAATATTTACTAAATTGACGAATTACATTGGATGGCTCAAAGATCACTTAAGTAGATGACGAAATGTATTTGTCTTCCACCGAGAGTAATAGAAAATAATCGAGACCAAAACGTTTTCACTCTTTTCAATTTGTACTTTAGTTTAATTACAAATATATAATTTACATAACTAATATGTCGAAAAATAATCCATGTGGATGTAGTATGTAGTCGGCACAAAACACATTTTCAGTGATGTGATTTTACGTTTATCCGGCTTCATCGCATTCTTTTCTTGAGAGAAGATTGACAGGTTAACCTTTCGCAACACATCACTTACTCTCTGGCTTCGTTCCCCCCGTTCGACTCCATCCGACTACGGTAGCTTCAGTATATTCAATCATTTCTGTAATTTTAATCATTTTGTCATCGACAGTAAAAGAAACTTGTTATCTATTATTATTTCATTACGATTTACGCATGTGTAATTATCAAAAAACAGTAAGTTTTATGTTGTAATTTTACTTTAATATTTACTTTATTATTAAGTTTAAGAGAGTAATAGAAAATAATCGAGACCAAAACGTTTTCACTCTTTTCAATTTGTACTTTAGTTTAATTACAAATATATAATTTACATAACTAATATGTCGAAAAATAATATATTACTTTATATTTTACAAGTTTCGTATTAGATACTGTATAAGAATATAATATCTTTTTATCGCTATAGAATCATTATAATTGGTATTATAAATCTTTGCATCATTAATTTATTACAACTATGTATGTATGTGTTTATGTATATATACAGGGTGTCCCAATTCAACGTCCCACCCCAAACAACTTTCTATCCTTGATCGCAGAAAAAACGTTTCAAAGTTGTCCAGTTCGAAGGGGGACACAAGACGATGCCACTAGTTTGACCCTGATGAGTTGCCCGAAGGTCACGTAAAGGTCACCTTCAATTTCTCTAATGGAACCCCCCATTGTTTATTGTACCATCCCACTCCACCAATTAATTTAAATAACTTTTGTCCGAAACATTTTATTGTAACATACACAAAATTTAAATACACAAAAATTTTCAATAATTGGAACACTATTGCAACAGCATACCTATTTACGAGACCAAATCAAGTAAAAACGTCCTGTACTACTTTTCCCTCCGACAAACAGTTAACGAGATATCATAAGCTAAACATTGAAAAAGGTTA